GAGGCCTCTCTAGTTGGAGAATATACCATTTGGAGTCGGAGTATGGCATAGCAATAGATGTACCTCGTTCATAATGACCAAGTCGGGCCGCATCACGCTGCGTAGAAACGCGTCTTGTCGCTGCTTCAAGTCCGGTCGCGGGACGTGGTAGCCGTGGCGAAAAAGCGAGAAGAACTCGGCTGCAGTGTGGAGCGCGCCATCGTGCGAACACACGGAGACGCGCAAGACCTCGAGCTGGCCCTCGCAGCGAGCGATGTTGCGATGCAGCTGTTGGACGTCGTTCTCGAGGTGTTCGAGGTGCTCGCGCTTCTGGTCGCGGTACCGCTGCTGACTGAGCTTGGACTTGGACGTGCCTTTGGCTCCTCGGTGTTGTCGTCCACGCGTCGGAACCACGGGGGATGGCGACGACGAGGCGGCAGTGTACATCGTTGGGCCTTCGATTGGCTCGTTGCAAAAAGTAAAGTGGTCTAACGTCACGGAGTTTGGTAGTTCGTTACATGCTCCACGTGGTGCGTGGTGGGGCACTGACCACCGCACACCGTCGCCATCAACCCATCGGCGGGATGTTCTTTTGCCCGATCGTGCAAGCATGGTAATATAGTGTTATTTTTGACGGCGAATCGAGGTGGTTTGAGTGGCTAGGCATGGATAAACGGACCTCGTTGCCGAGACAACGCGCTTGGACGCCGTTGCAATCGACGCGTTGAAGCCGCCGGCGCTTCCGATTCGAACGAAATAGTATCTTTTGGAACCGTGACGCGGCAGGAGCATTTTTCGCGTAAGAGTAGCTCGCTGCGATTCAGCGCAACATTCAGCGTCCACCCAAATGGCCTCAATCGTCCGTACCCGGTACAACGTTGGACAAAAGACACAGCATAAACACAACAGAAAAGTACAGTACAGCGGAGAAGACCGTCATGCTTGCTTGGCTTGTGGCGTACATAGGCTCGTCATCCTCGGCCCCAGGATGGCGATGTGCACACACTGATGGCGTGACGCAATTGTGCCTTGGAGAAAGCAGTGCTAATAACGGGCGGACCACGACCAAAACCTTTGCACTTTGTCAGATCCGACACCTGTAAATTTATTTGTGGCCCCAGGGTTCATTGAATTGGCTCGAGGGATAAATCGTTTGTTTCATTGATTCGACGGTGTTTCAAACGTGTTTCAACCAGCGAACAAACGTCTCTATACGTGAGGTATCCCTGCTAGCGTGGCGTGTTGTAGTGGGCAGACCCTAGTCAGACCAGGGCCAAGACTTGATCGACCACCGCAAGGGGTCGTGCGCCTTGCATCGCCACCGGCGCTGTCCTTCTCCTGTGCTCGTTCATTGGCTCTGAGCATCAGCTAAATCATTTTATTAGCCTGTCATTCTTTCATGGCATAATATGAGTATTTGTATGTAATAAAACATATACACATTGTACAAATACTTACATTATGCTGTCGCAAACGCATATCGGACCGTGATTGAAACCATTGTTTGAAACATTCCATACGCGCGCTCCATGCTCTCGATGACCGCAGAGCTTACCAGAGAACGAGTGCATTCGAGCATGACACAAGTGAGCGTGGAGCTCAGGGACGGTTGGAGCAACAGCTTGGACTGGAGGAGTTACGACCAGGCTGAAGTAGCGACGTGGTGGGTTGTACACACCTGCATCAGATCGCGACTCTCAGATTTAGGTCCACGCGCGCGATGGGAACTAGGTGTATCAAGGATAACGAGATGCGCCCTATACACCCGGACCACACGCGCTGCCTCCCATGTGCAGGCGAGTTCTAGCGCTTTTTTTCCTCCATTCTCTGACGACTTCTGCGATACAAGTACCTTGGAACTCAAGATAAGGATCCTCTTGCGCGACGAGGATACCCGTAGCGTTGCTGGTGACTAGTGCTCCGTCCGCTTGATCAGCACAGACGTCACGGTCCTCACGAACGTAGTCGGACTATAATAGGGCCTTGTTGCCCGAGATCTTGCTCCGCAATCTCGCCACGGCCAAGCTTTTCAGTTCCGCAGTCGATTTCAGCTCTGGCCAAGACAAGCGCACTTGCTCCATGGAAAAGATGTTCATTCTGACAGCAATCTGCGCGCTACAATAGTACAGTGTAGTTGGGTCCAAGCGACGTACGCCCCACCTCCCACCGCACTCGCAGTTCAAGTCGATCGATTCGTGTTCCATCCACGACGATTCGCGAGATGCGCTGACCGTTTGCCAAATTGGATTTGGTTGATTCGATGGCCAAACGTCCCGTGCGCTTCATCGGAGGTAGTCGTGTCTTCGCCCAACGAGTCTCTTTCGAGTCTTCAATTGTCCTCGAGCTATGGCGTCGCGCACATCGATACATATGGCCTCCAACTGTTAACGATCGTATCTGCTTTCGCAAAATACACTTAGATATCTGCAGTCACGTTTCGGCTTGAGTTGCCCACCTTTCGAGCACTCTTGCGGTTGTCGCACCAAGTATGTTGGCTCGTGGTGGTCATGCGCACGGCTGCTCACGGCTGTCAAATTCCTGCGTAGCATGCGCGGTAGTTTCATTTGTGTAGATGGTTAGTGCAGGGTGTAGTGAGCCTTTTGAAATCAGTTTGGTATCGGGGGAGTGTGCTATTTAGCGGTGCGTCGGTGTCGTAGCATGGACTGTGTTGATGCATTCCAGTCATCGGTGTTCGGTTTCATGTACAATGTACGTTCAGCACACCCTGTCCAATGCAGACACGCATTCACATGGCAAATGTGTGATCGACGCGTGCGACCTCCGCTGCGGTACGGTGCACCTGGTGGGTTCGTCCAAAAGGTGATTGATTTTCTGTAGAGTCGACGTTAAATTTGCTTTTGTTGGGCAGCGGAGACGGTCCTGATTCTGCTAGATTGTGCTCTGTTAGAGAGCCTTCGCATAATTTCAGCCCTTGGGTCCTATACTGCATAGCCGGACGCGTCTTGCATAGAGGCCACAACAGCTTGCCCCAGCATCGCGGCAAGATCAACATTGCGGGGCGAGTCGCGTCAAATCAGCTGTGTACTCGCCGAGTACATAGCTATCTACCGGTATCGCAACGTGATTCCATGACTTCGTCGAATTTAGGGGGCTAATTTCCGTTCGGATTCCGCTATTAAGTACCTGCGGTGCAACGGAAACTGGTCGATTGTCCATTTTACACAAACGCACCACCAGTCGGAATAAGTAGAATTACGCAAGAACGGTGAAGCTGCATAATTAGAGGGCGTCGTGATACCCCCGTGTCGGCGCGGCACTGCGCCTCCACCTGGCGTTCCGATGTACAATGAAATCCCTGTTAGTGTTGAGACTGGGGTTCGCTCCTCGACAATGCACGGCGAGCACAAACGTCAACACGCTACCTTCGCTGCGCTGCGGTGGACACACTTTTCTGGGCCGATGCTCTGTCGTCGCTCGCTGCCGTAACATAGTTTTAAGGGAATTTTAGCTCGG